ATATATATATATATATATATAATATATATACATACATCCACCCATTTGAAAACTTCCTGGACAACCATTAACCAGTAGCTTGTCTTGTCCTGTTCTATGCAGGGATAACAGCCAGTTTGTTGTCAGCTGATATATGCATGCTTGTTTCCTATATCTATGCGACTTGATGTGGGGTATTTAACCTTTAAGATTGGATCCTTTCCTATCTCTGTAAAGTTAGCTCCTTTTATTTTTCTACAACTATAATAATGAAGTCTACAGACTGTATTTACTGGTATGCATTTAACCTAACATCACAGTTCTATTCTACCCTGTTTTGGAGGGATTATTGTGTTCTCTAGTACATGTTTGATTTTGTGGTAAACCAACCACCTGTCAGATATGGTTTTATGCTTTTAGTCCCTTGAATTCATATGCAAAGACCCCCTATGTTCACACTAAACAGGACTCTTGCTTCAGATTATTTTGAAATGGCAACACAGAGGTTTTCTCACTGAATCTCATTTATTTTGTTCAATAGTGCTGTATCATACTATTCTATATCAGTTAATATACTCAGTCGTAAAGGTAAGCCTTTATTCTCTTGCTTAGGAGTGGTGACCTTTTCGAGAAAGTACATGTAGTAGAATTCAAGTGCAACTCCGTCCAAGATGTATTTTCTTTTTGTAAATTTGGAATAGAATACGGGAAGGTTAGAACCTCTAAGAGTTTTTATTGCCATTTGGTCCCCTGTGTAGATGTCCTGGTGGCAACTGTTAGTAGGATCATCTTTTTAGTGGAGACACAGCCAGCAGTAGAAACTTAAGAGCGCTCCCTAGAACTAGTATCTTTGACCTATTCGAAAAAATATGTTTTATTGCTGTATGTGCCCTCATTAGAGATCTCCTTTCGGCTTCTATTTCAACGACCATCATCTCTTGTTCAGAAAGTGAGTTTCGTTTTAAAGTTGAATGGGATTTTTACCGTGGTTTCTGCTTAAAGAAGAACTAAAGTCCACTTACCTCCACTCCAGCTATGCGACTTCCATAAGCCCCCTCGTCCACTCTGGCATTTTAAGTGCGATCTTCTGGATTTGGTAATTGAGGATTATAGGAAATAATACTTTCCTTAGTCCCTTCTAGTCGCCACAATTCGACATTGCATTACATACCTGAAAAGAAAATATATTCAGAATGTTCTATTATGACACCTTACTCTCACCCCAACCCAATATCCTGAATTGAGAATTTCTGGAGCATTTTTAAATGGTAGCAGCTTACCCCCTGTCTGTCTACCCATCTGTTTCTGCTGACTTGAACATATAATTCATAGCTGATAGTGGCACACACAAATTCCCTAGAGAGAATTTGTACTGTTTACACACCACTTTTTAAGTGATGTCCTAATACTAAGACTGTTCTCATTGTATGACTGCAGGTAGTTGGGTATTCTTCTTATTCCTTTCCCTGTCCAGCATTTTTAGGCATATATTAGCTGCAGAGAGCTGCAGTAAACTGATTTACCCAAATGTTTTTCTTTTTCAAGATTAGAAATATTCACATTGATAGCAATGATCCTGTAAAAGTAATATTTATTTGTATTAGAAATGTAGAGCCTTAGTTTTGCTTGAAAAAAATGAGCACATAACATATTTCAAATTAGAGGATATTTTTTTCTGTCCACAACAGTCATCATCTCTGTCCTTTTTATGTTTCTAATCTCAAAATCCAAAAAAGGGAACTGACCAGTGGAAGTAAATGATCTCTCCTGATTTTCTGTCTGATAACTATGTGCGCATAGCATTAACATTGTGACTGTCCACATTCGGTCAAGTAACTGTATAAATGTAAATGAGGTTGTGTAGATTGTAAGATTCCACTATTTGTGTATGTGTTTTGTAGAACAAGAGCTATTAGTGTTGTAAATAGTTTAGTGCTTAAACCCAGTATAGCACCTTTTTTGTGATGTGTATTTATACGTGCAAGAAAATGTGAATTTTAAATGATGCTTGTAAGATTATGTATAAAGAGACTTTGGCTTATACATGTAAGGCCCAAACAATACTTCCCGTCGGTTTTAAACAATGGTTCTGTAATTAGTTTTACTATGCCAGTGTTTCATAAAGTGGAACTAAATGCAGTAGAGTGAAGATTTTTGTTGTAGGCTTAATGAATAGATCAGTACATTTACATCATCGCTCTGATGACTATATTATAATGGTGGATATCGAACAAGGCAGTTTATGGAACTGCTAAGTCTTGATGAGCTTTAGCTGAACATGGCCATACCTGTCAGATGTGGATGTTGGGCCCCAGCGAACAGTTTTGAATGGATGTGAAGTGATCCAGTGTTAGTGACACTAAACTCAGGAGTTATATCTTAAAAATGCATTAAAGTACCTTTAAGTATGAACACAAATGTATCTTGTTTGTGTATCACTCAGCTGTAGATCCTCAAATCATCTCTGAATTCATGCTGACACTGTCCTTCCTCCTGGAGGGTGGCTACTTTTATTCTCCATGGTCCCTGTGTGTGTTTTAAAGTAGCCACTGCTCCCAGATCACTCCTGTTATGGACTACAATCGCAATACAAACTAGTAAACTAAACATGAGATTGTAGTCCATCATGGGAGGGAGCTTGGAGCGGTGGCTACTTTGCAACACACACAGGGACCATGGGGACAAACATAGCCACCCTCCAGAAGGAAGGACAGTGTCAGCATGAATTCAGAGATGAGAATCTACAGCTGAGTGATACACAAATAAGATAACATTTTTGTTAAAAGTTAAGGTACTTGAATGTATTTTTAAGATTT